CCATTTTCAGAAACTTGTGGATAGACTTTGACATTTTTCTGGTGCTTCTCTTGAGTCTTATCTAGCAGGCAATGTGAATATTTCTTTTCTTATTCCTATTCTCTAATTCTTTAATAATCAGTTACATGATGATATTAATCTAGGGCTTTTCTATTGTTCCTTTCTATCTATATGAATGTATCCTTACTTCTTGCTGTTTATTTTTTTTGAATTTTACTCTTTCTAAATAATGTGCCCTATTCTCTTATATTTATTATTCTAGATTTCTTCTCTTTATCTCATAATTACGATTATATCTCAGTATTCAAATCATGTAAAACATTTATTCTTATAACTTTTATTCAATTGTTTTTATAACCTATTATTGCAAATTTAGTTTAATATCAAATTTGCAAATTTTAAGAAACATTCTTTAATAAGTCTTTAAAAAATTTTTTTAAATTTTTATTCTACTAGTGTAAAATATATGGTTACAAAAGTTTTAGATTGACAAATACCAAAGAGTTGCAATTACAGGACACTTTCTCAAATCCAATTGACATAGTAGATAGCTTTTATATCATTTTTGAGAGATTATCAAATTTTAAATACTAATAGATGTGATTAAAATAATTGGCTAGATTATATTTATTATATCTATTTGGTCATACAAAGCTTGATCTAAGCCAATCAAATTGATTTATATTACCTGACAAATCTGATATTTAATAGATATTAGATTTTTTAAGCATTGGTTATTAGAAATAGCAGATTATTAGGTTTGAATTATGGAACAAATATTGTGAATCAATTTTTTATTGGATATAACAGATTATTAGTTTTAACAGAATCAGTTTTGGGAGGGTATACTATATATTGATTTTTATTAGTCTAATTTGGAATATATATTTTTTTAAGTTTTTTTTAATATATTTCAGATACTGTTTAAATACTTTGTTATTATTGCTATCTTCTCCAACTAACTTTTTACAATTATCTTCTTTATTAGCATTGACATCCTCAATATCTACTCTTTTTCTTTTATTCTTGGTGCTAATATTATTTCAATAGCAAGATCTACATAGGTTTTGCTAGTACTATCCATCAAAATTTCTTTTTTCTTACCTTTATCATATTATCATGCAATATATTAGCAGATTTTTAATACTAAATATATATATCATCTTTTTCAAGACCAATTTTGTTTTGATAACAAGGTCTACCTGAATCAAAATATTTATTCAATTTATCATTCTCAGCCTTTTCTAGTACTATTTAGTAATTTTGTCTTTTTAGTATTGATTCTCTTAAATATTCCTCTGACAAGTTTATTTTAATAGGTTTTTTTATTTTGCACATAGCTATTCAAAATTCATTAACTTTTAACTATTCCTCAAACTTATAGTGCAGGGCTTCTTTTTCAAGAAACATTACTGATATATTTAATGTTTTGTTATTCCTATTATTATTGCCAATTAATATCTTACAATTACTTTTATTCGCAGTTTCATAATTGTCAATATCTCCAGGCCTTGCAGATATGTTTTTATATCTTTCTTTTTATCAAATATATTTGTTTTTGACTTGCTAACAGCATCTATTTCAATTGACTTTTGATAATAAGTGAGCAGCTTAAACTTGTCTTTTTCAGTTTTTATTCCATTTTGCTAATAAAGCTTGAAACTATATTTTTTATCTGAATTATTATTTTCAGCATATACTAGGTATATTGTCAATAGTTTCTTTTTACCTCTTCTTCTCTTATCTTTATTTTTTCTAACACCAATTTTATAGTGAGATCAAACTATATATGTTTATTAGTATTACTTATATTTGCGATTTTTCAATAATTATTTTTTTCAATGCCAATTTTATTTTAGTAACTAAAGCCACAAATATAGCCCATATCAACAAATGGTGAAGTTCTCTAGAATTAATTAGATATAGGTATTAGTTATATTAGTATTATCATTTTTAGCTTCAATTCTATTTTCTTGACTAATTTTAAGATTATTCTGCCTTCTCAAATTGCCTCTTTTAACTAATTTCAAGTTTCATTCAAACATCTTATTTTCATCTTTTTTTCAACACCAAATTTATATGAATAACAACTACCAATATTATATATTTTATTGATTGTGCCAGTTTTATATAATTCCTAATAGTTAACAAAGACTTTTCTTTTTAGATATATCTTTAAAGAGTTTAGACAGAGTCTCTTCATCAGAAGAGTCATCATTCTCTTCATCATTATTATTAATTTTATCATTTTTAATCTCTATTTTATTTTCATATTTAAATTCAATTATTTTATTAATGTAGTCCATCTTTGCAAACTTTTAATAATATTCAAATACCTTATGTCTGTTATTTTAACCTTAATTTTATTTGGTTTGCGGTTCTCAAGTTTATAGCTTTTATCAATAAAATCTATAATGGAGTTTACTAAATACTTCCTGCTCATTTATTCCAACTCTAGTATTATTACAAAAGCTATCATTAATGGGTATCTGTTTTAAAAGTTAAATTTTAAAAAAAAATTATTATTAACTTTAAATTAAATTTATCTAACATATATAATTCTTTATTTATATTTTATTTTAGTATATTTAAAATTTTGTTAACTTATAAAGTTATATTATTAAGTTTAAAATTTAATTTAATATTAAAAATAATTAAAAAATAACTAAAAAAATAATTAAAAATTACTAAATTATAAATAGCAAAAATTTTATATGATTAAATTCTTTTAAAATATTAGAAGTTTTAAAATTAGTTTTTCTGATTCTAATAATAATAAAATTATTAAAATTGGTTTGGTATATAAAAGTTATAAGTAATTTAATTTGATCAATTTTTTATTATATTTTATTATATTTTTACTATATTTTACTATAAAAAATTATCTATTTTTAGGCTTGTATCATTTTAAAACAGGTTTATTTAAAATACTTTAAAAAATTATTTATTTTTTAAAATATTCTAAAGTCAAGACTAGATCTAATAATAATTTAAAAATTTTATTTTTTTTATTTTCTTAAAAATTTTATTTAATATAATTTTTTAAAGGTTATATAATTTATCGCAAGTGCATTGTAATGCAACCCTAATCAACCAATTAAAATATATAACATTACACAATTAGAAAAATTTAAAACAACTATTCATTTTGCCAAAAATCACTTATAACTCAAAATTTTGCATATGCAACTACCTTTTGAGTTTTAACAAAAAAAATTCTTTGCAAGATTTTACTATAAATTTATCTTTTATATCTACCTTAATCTTACCTAATGCTAACCCTAATCACATAAAAAAATCATTGTTTTGATTTTATATTAGAATTTTTTTTTGGTGCATCTGCACTACAGTGCACCCCTATATCATGTGATTGACATGATTAATAGCTATTACTTGATTTACGGTGATTAATAAATAAAATTTATTATACAATAAACAATAATTTATAAAAAATTAATTATACAATTAATATATTATGCTTGCACAGCATGATATAATAATTATATCATGCTACAATTTCACGCAACTACTAATCTACTTTAAATCAACTCTAATACTAACTCTAACTCAAATTAATAGTAAAACTATATAATTCAAGATACTTTAATTCTAACTAACAGCAAAGACGATGAAATTCAAGATACTTTAACCCTAACTAACAGCCAAGATGGCCTACTTAACTAATAGCAAAAGTGATGCCTCAACAATGACAATACTGACCATAGTGACTACCAATGATAACAACGAAAAGTAAGTAATTCACAACTTCAATAGCGATGACACTAATAAATAATCCATAACTCTAATAGCGACAACACCAGCAACCAAAGTGTTTTTATTACTCCAATTATAATAATACTAATGATGAGAGCATTGTATAATTGTATCAGAAAAGCAATAAGCAACAGCCCAAAAAAAAAAGAAAATAAAACCTAAACAAAAAATGGTTGATCTTTAGTATAGGTGAGCATATATAATTATTATACAATTATAACATATATAAGTTAATTATTTTGAACTAATTTAAGTAATTTTATAAATTATTAGGGTTAGGGTTAATGTTAAAATTTAAATTAACTCAAATTAGTTAGGTTTTATATATTATAATCTTGTAATAATTTATATATGCCCACATATACTAAAGAAGATCCCAAAAAACATACAAATCTAAAAACTGGAAAGAAAAGCTCAAAGATGCTCTTTAAAACACCTGAAAAAAAAGTCCCTATAATCCACAACAACAGCGAAGAAATAGTAACTATATAGCTGTTCACAAGACTGACCTAATCTAGAAAAAATGAAAAACATTAATAACACATTTACAAGATAAAAAGCAACAATAAAAAAATGAAACTATATGTCTCAAGTTTACAACACATACACTTTACAAATCCCAAGAAAGTCCAGAGATGTCCTAAAAAGCTTAGAACAAAAGAAACGTTAATATGCAAAAAAAACAAAACCAGCGAATCTCAAAATCATACTTTCCAGGATTACTAAGACAAACGCTTAACAGTTTTCAAAAAGCCTAGCAATCCTAGAAAACAAAGAAATAAGTGTTAGTAATACATTCATGAATCAAAAAAAAACAAGAACAAAAAACAAATAAAACACACGTTCTGAATATCAAAACAAATGCTCACAATTTCCATGAATGTTCTAGAACAAAACAAAGAACACCTGTTAGTAATGAACTTATAAACAAACAAAGCTCATTCTAACTTCTTAAACTAAATCTAACTTAAACATACTCATGTAATGATGCATCAGCAACAAAACTAAAAGTACTAGGAGTGGCTTCTCCAACCTAGGCTGGCATTACCAACATGCAAAAAATGACATACCCAATTATGGGTAACAGTGATACTAATGAAGTTAGCACTAAAGAAAAAATATATAAAGTAATTAGTATAACACATTGAAACAAAAAAAATTCAACTGATTTAATCAGTTGATGATCACTACAGTCAGAGATTTTACCAAATATGGAAATCGATTCTGGAATAATCTACAACAATCTGATTGGCTGTTGATCATCATTTTTTTAAC